CCAAGAAGCCCCCAACTGGCCCCCAGGGAGCCGCAAGATGGCCGGAAAGAAAAACAAGAGGGCCCCAGGAGGCCCCCGAGAGATTCAAAAACTGTCTCCAAGACGCCTCCGAGACGCCTCCCAAAAGACCCCTATCAGCCATCCGAGTGGCCTCGGACCCGCAACCCAGGCACGGTGGCAGGATGTGCCGACGGCCATTCGATCCGCCACCCCCTGTCGATTCATCGCAGGGGTGCCTGGCGTGCCAAATAATCTGGGTTTTGGTTTTGGTTCTCTTTCCAAAAGAACTCTCCCTGGGGCTCCGGCGCGTCCCGCCGGCCACCTGGAAACTGCACAAGTCAATGCCTGTTCCGTCCCAAGATGGCCCAATATGGTCCCAACACGGCCAAGATGGCCCATGATGGCCTCCAAGATGTCTCCAAGACAGCCAAGATGGCCTCCAAGACGGCTAAGGTGGCCCCAAGATGCATCCAAGACGGCCCAAGATGGCCTCAAGATGGTCTAACACGGCCCAGAAGGCCCGCAAGAGGCCTCCAAGACGACCCAAGAGGCTTCCAAGAGGTCCTCCAGGAAGGCCCGAAGAGGCCAAAATCATTGACTTTCCTTTGGTTTTTGAAGGATTTGGGAATTTGCGCCTTTTCGGCTTTCCGACGGCCCAAGGCGGCCCAAGAGACCCCCAAGATCGCCCAAGAGGCCTCCAAAATGGACCCATGACGGCCCAAGAGGCTCCCACGACGGCCCCAAGAGGGCCCGAAGACGGCCCAATAGGCCTCCAAGACGCCAACGATGGCCACCAAGACGCCCACGATGGCCTCCAAGACGCCCAAGATGGCCTCCAAGACGGCCCCGAAGCGCCCCAAGAGGGCCCCAAGTCGGCCCAGAAAGACCCCCAAGACGGCTCCCGACGGCGTCAGACGTGCCAGGAACCCACCAAGATGGCCGAAGTTGGCTCGAAGCTGGCCCAAGACGGCCCAAGAGGCCCCCAAGAGGACCTCCAGGAAGGCCTGAAGAGGCCAAAAACTCTGATTTTCCTGAGGTTTTTGACGGATTTTGACGTTTGCTTCTTTTTGGCCTTCCGACGGCCCAAGACGGCCCAAGAGGCCCCCAAGAGGCCTCCAAGATGGCCCCAGAACGACCCAAGAGGGCCCCAAGACGGCCCCAAGAGGCCCCCAAGACGGCACAGGAGGCCTTTAAGACGCCCAAGATGACCTGCAAGACGGCCCTGGAGCACCCCAAGAGGGCCCCAAGTCGGCCCATAGAGGCCCCCCAAACGGCTTCCGACGGCATCAGACGGACCAGGAGCCCACCAAGACGGCTGTACATGGCCCTAAGATGGCCCAAGACGGCCCAAGAGGCCTCCAAGACGGCCTCCAGGAAGGCCCGAAAAGGCCAAAATCATTAATTTCCCTTCGGTTTTTGAAGGATTGTGGCATTTGCTTTTTGTTCGGCCTTCCGGCTGCCGGAGACTGCCCCAGTGCCCCCAAAGATCGCCCAAGAGGCCCAAGACACGGCCCCAAGAGGCCCCCAAGACGGCCCAAGAGGTCTCCAAGACGCTCAAGATGGCCTCCAAGACGGCCCAAGAACCCTCCAAGACGTCCTCCAAGAAGGCCCGAAAGAGTCAAAATGGCCTCCAGATGGCCAAGATGACCTTCAAGATGCCCATGTGTTCCCCGAAGGCTTTCCAAACCGACTCGGGGAACACATGGTCCGATAGCTTGGCAGGTCTGGCCTCAACGTTCGGCCACATAGGCGCTTCCAAAAAGGCAGAGGGCGGCGGTAATTCGCCTTAGGCGTCTTCGATAATCATTCGTCGGGTGTTTTGACAGATGCTGGCGTCGCCTCGCTGCTGGTCCTGGCATGCAGCCCAGCTCCACCCCTGGTGCCGCCCCGCTGCGGACGCTGCGCTTGGGCGCAACCTCACACAGTCGGCGCACCTGGTGGACACAGCACTTTGCTGTTGGCAGCCCCTGGACCCCTGTACTGGTTCAACCACTTGCTCGACAGTGGGCCGTGTTCGGCCCTGGTCACTGGTCAGATCACTTGCTCGACCACTTGCTGGACCACTTGCTGGACAGTGTACTGGTTCACTGGTCAGTGGGCCCTGGCAGGGCCCGTGGGTGCGCCCTCGCCTCGGCCCGGCTGCTGCCACGGTCGGTCGCCGCTGCTGCGGCCGGCCGCTCTGGCCCGCAATACTCCTCCACGTCTGAGCGGTCTCTCCTCCCCCTCCCCCCTGCACGGCCGCCCTCGTCCTTGTCCCTCTCTTGCACGCCGGACAGGCTGGAGCGGACTGCCTCTGCCTCGCCAGCGACGGGTGCCCGCCGTCTGTGTGCGTGGGTTCTCGCCCGTTTCCCCATGCGTGCACGGCAGATACTGAGAATGTCAGCCCAAGAGCGCGCTTCTTTATGATCGGCGATGACGGGGGTCATGGGGGGCGGGCGGGGGGGGGTATGACGTAACGTCCCCCCCCCGCCCTGTGGCTCAGGCACCACAGCCGCGGCCGCGCGCACGACGACGGTGAGCGACGAGCGACGAGCGACGACGACGACGACGACGACCACGACGACGACGACGACGACGACGACGACGACCACCACCACGCGAGCAACATGTAGGTGGCGATCTGCCCCACAGCGCCTGTGTACACCACAGTGCTGGCGTGCACCACAGCGCTTGTGTTGTGTACACCACAGCGCTTGCGTACACGGCAACAGCCGTGTGCAACACAGCGCCTGTGTACACCATAGTGCGCGCGTGCACCACAGCGCTGGTGTATACCCCAGCGAATGTGCACACCGCAGCAGCCATGTGCAACGCAGCGCCTTTCTACACAACAATGCTTACGTGCAGCGCAGCGCTTGTGCACACCACAGCGCCTGTCTACACCACAGCATCCGCGTGCACCGCAGCGCTGGTGTACACCAGAGTGCCTGCGTGCACAGGACAGGTAGAAGGAGCATGTCAGTGACGATCTGCTGCGGACAGCTAAACGCCACGCCAGGGAAATGCTGATGATGGAATGCGACGCTTTTCCTTCCTCCCTCCTCCACCCCCGCCTTCTCCTCCTCCTCCTCCTCATTCCCCTCCTCGTCCTCCTCCTCCTCGTACTCCTCCTCCTCCTCCTCCTCCTCCTCCTCCTCCTCCCTCACCCTTCCCCCCCGCCGTGCGGGTCGGCACTACAGCGCACGTGCGCGTCTCAGCGTGCACCGCGGAATGGTCGATTGAATAAATCCACGTGGTTCTCGGACGGCCAATTTAGCTGGGGCTTACTGGACGCAGATGGGAAGAGTTAGGATGATGCGGGCGGACTCCAGAGGAATCGTAGATTCCAGCAACGCTTCTTTGTGCATTTCCAAATCCTACATAAAACATTTTGTTTTCAGTTGAATCCACAGGCGCTCCATTTTGTCATAAAGAAGCCTTATTGCACACGGTTGCTGTGGTGCACACAGGCGCCGTGGTGTACACAGGCGCAGTAGTGCACGCAGGCATTGTGGTGTACACTGGTGCTGTGTTGCACACGGCTGATGTGGTGTACGCAGGCGCTGTGGTGTACACAACGGCTGTGGTGCCAGCACGCACTGTGGCACACACTGGCGCTGTGTTGCACGCGGCTGCTGTGGTGCACATAGGCGGTATGGTGTACACAGGCGCTGTGGTGCACGCAGGCACTGTGGTGTACACAAGCGTTGTGGTGCAGATCGCCACCGACATGCCGCTGCTACCGTCCTCGGTCATTCCTAGGCATTCCCAGACGCCGCCGGCGCGAAACGTGACGTCATCGGCCACCTCCACCCCCCCAGATGATTGCCGTCATCGGCCCGGAATTAAAAAAAACAGGCTCCAGCTGCGTCCGCGCGCACGACGACGATGAGCGACGAGCGACGAGCGACGAGCGACAAGCGACAACGACGACGACGACGACGACGACGACGGCGACGACGACGACGACGACGACTGCGGACCAGACTCCTATGCGGACACTTATGCGGATCACGATGCGCACGGCGGCAGTGCCCGAAACGACCTGGGGGAGGGAGCGTTACGTCATAGGGGGGGGGGCGGGGGCCATGACGCCCGTCATGCCCCAAGCAATAATGAAACGCGCCATGAAGCCCCAAAAGAGCTCCAAGAAACTCCCAAAAGGCGCACAAGAGGCCCTCAGGAGCAAAACACACACACACACCAACCGCCAGCTCCCCAAGAAGAGGTCGGCGGTGTGGCGAAAGCCCAAGAATCTCTCGAGATTCCCTCAGGAAGCCCTCAGGATTCTTTCCGGAATCCCTGATGACACCCCAAAAATCCATTTGGAATCCTTTGTAGGCATCCTCAGCCCCCCCCCCCTCGCGGAGGCCGCGGAGGCGGAGCCGCGCGCTCCCGCCTCGCCAGGACCCCCCCCCCCCGCCGCTCTCCGCTGCAGAGGGGGGGGGATCCATACTCTCCCGTGGATCGAGGCTCGAGGACCGCCCTCTCCCTTTTGCCCCCATCCCTCAGCCCTCCCTCCCTCCTTTTGCCAGCTTGCAACATATCCCTATCCCTGTGCTTGGCATCACCTTACCTCGGAACCGATCTTAAGAATTCCCGCAGTTTCCGAGGGCGCATCCCTGAGATTGTCACCGCCTGTGGCTTGCCGACCTGAAGGAAAGGGAGGAGTCCGAGGCTGGTGATCCCTCACCCCACCTCGCCTCGAGGACCGCCCTCCCCCCCCCCGGCTCGTCTCACCTCGTCTCGCCTCGCCTCGGGGTCGACTCTCTCTCTCTCTCTCGAGCATCGCGGATCGCCCTCGGGGGCGACGACGGGGGCGAACAGCACAGGGGAGAGCGACACGCGTACCCGGCCTGGTCCGTGCCTTCGGCCCGGCTTCGGCCCAGCTCCCTGGCGAAGACGTGTACTGCCCGCCCCTGCGCTGCTCGCCCCGATCGTCGCCTCCGACGCCTCGCCGTCGCAGCCACGACGAGGGGGCCGCTGCGCAGCGACGGGGGCCGCCGGCGGCCGTCGTCCAGACTCCGCCCGCGCCGCTGCGTGGCGGCAGGCGGCTGGCGGCGCCCGTCTGCCCTCGGTCTATATACAGCCGCTGGGCGCCCATGGCAGCCTGGGCCCGCCCGCCTCGGCGGAAAGCCTGCGCGGCGAGACCCACGAGGCGAGCGGGAAGACGACTGAGGTTGCGGCCCAGGACTCCTCCTCCAGCTCCTGCCCCTCCTCCTCCTCCTCCTCCTTCTCCTCCTCCTCCTCCTGCTCCTCCTGGTCCCTCCTGCTCCCTCCTCATCCTGCTCCCTCATCGTCATCATCATCATCATCATCATCATCATCATCATCATCATCATCATCATCATCATCATCATCATCACCATCATCATCATCATCATCATCATCATCATCATCCTCATCCTCATCCTCATCCTCATCCTCATCATCATCATCATCATCATCATCCTCATGATCATCATCATCATCATCAGCATCATGATCACCATCATCATCATCATCATCATCAGCATCATCATCATCATCATCACCATCATCACCATCACCATCATCATAATCATCGTCATCGGCATCGCCATCGCCGTCGTCATCGTCGTCGTCATCCTCATCAACATCATCAGCATCAGCGTCAGCATCATCATCATCAGCATCGTCAGCATCAGCATCATCATCAGCAGCATCATCAGCATCATCATTATGATCATCATCATCAGCAGCATCATCATCGTCATCATCAGCATCATCCTAATGAGAATAATCGTCGTCATCATCATCGTTATCATCATCAGCAACATCATCATGATCGTCATCACCGCCACCAACACCATCATCATAATTATCATCATCACCATCATCATCAGCACCATCAGCAGCATCGTCAGCATCATCATCATCATCACCATCACCATCATCGTCATCATCAACATCATCATCAGCAGCATCATCAGCAGCATTATCATCAGCATCATCGTCAGCATCATCATCATCACCACCACCATCATCATCACCAGCATCATCATATGCAGCATCATCATAATCATCGTCATCGGCATCATCATCACCACCACCACAATCATCATCATCATCATCACCATCATCATTATCATAATCGGCAGCATCATAATCATCAGCATCATCATCAACATCATCATCACCGTAAGCATCGTGATCAGCATCCCCACAATCAGCATCATCATCACTAGCAGAATCAACATCATCATCACCAGCTTTACCATCAGAATCATCATCTGCAGCTCCACCATTATCATCATCACACTCACCACCATCAGCGTCGTCATCAGCATCAGCATCAGCATCAGCATCAGCACCATCATCATCATCATCAGCAGCATCATCGTCATTGTCATGATCAGCATTATCATCATCGTCGTCATCATCACTATACTGTTTTGGGCAAACGCTGGCTAACACTATTCTGGAAAGAGGAATTAACCATCATCATCATCAGCATCAGCATCACCATCACAATGAACATCATCATCACCATCATGATCAGCATCAGCATCATCATCATCATCATCATCATCACCATCACCATCATCGTCATCATCATCATCATCAGCATCATCATCATCATCAGAATCATCATCAAAGTAAGCATCATCACAGTCAGCATCATCAGCATCGTCATCATCATCATCATCAGCATCGTCAGCATCAGCAGCATCATCAACATCAGCATCATCAACATCATCATCAGCATCATGATCATCAGCAGCATCATCATGATCATCAGCATTATCATCATCAGCATCAGCATCAGTATTATCAGCAGAAGCATCAGCAGCAGCATCATCATCATCCTTATCATCATCGTCATCATAGATATCATCATCAGCAGCATCATCATCATCGTCGTCATCATCATCACCATCACAAGTGTCAGACCCATGTGTATGTATACCGTTCACCATCATCACCTCGCCATCACCGTCAGCATCATCATCATAATCAGAGGCATAATCAGCAGCAACATCATCATCATCATCATCGTCATCGTCCTAAGCATAAGCATCATCATCAGCATCATCAACAGCATCAGCATCAGCATCAGTATCAGTATAAGTGTTATCGCTGTCGTTGTCGACAACTGCAGCAGCATCCTCATCAGCAGCATCGTATCCATCGTCGTCAACATAATCATTATCAGCATCGTCAGGAGCATCATCAGCATCATCATTACCGTCAGCATCGTCACCATCAGCATCATCAGCAGCATCGTCTGCATCGTCATCATCGTAAGCAGCAATATCGCCAATATCAACACCATCAGCCGCAACGGCAGCCTACTCAGCATCACCGTCAACATCATCATCATCTCAATCTAACCAGCACGCTCATATTCAACTTCGGCATCATCTACAGCATCGTCATCATCATCATCATCATCATCGTCGTCGTCGTCGGCATCCTCATGATCATTATTATGAGCAGCGTCAGTAGCATCATCATCCTCGTCAGCAGCAGCATCAGCATCGTCATTGCAATCATCACGATCACCAACATCATGACTATCATCAGTGCCGTCGACATGCTGCCTACCGCGTCACCCGGGACGACGCCTCAGACCTAAGGTGTCACACGGGGGCGCTGGACAGCGGCCCTCGAGAGATACTTCGTCCGCGTGTTGGGCATCCCTGCCGGACCGCAGCACCTGCACTGCGGGCGCGGCGCCCCGCGAAAGCCACACACCGTCCGCGCGCGCGCGCCGCAGGCGGCGGCGCCGATGGCGGACCGCGCTGCCGCGCGGTGGTCCACCGCCGAGGCGCCGGGTGACGCGCTGCAGCGGCAGGGGCACCGGGCAGCATTGGAGCAGCCCGTCGCCGCGGCCTCCGCTGTGGCGAGCCGGCTCCGCGCGCACGCTGACGCGCTGCCCCGAGGCAGCCCTCTTCCCTGGATGCAGGCTCGTTCCTGGGATGGCAGGCGGGCCACTCCGCCAAGCTCCAGTGGCCAGCAGACCGCGACCGCAGCTGGCACGCTGCGATCGGGCAGTTGGCCGCCAGAGTGGAGCGCGCAGAGGCGCGCCCGCGCGGCTCCAGTAGTTCGTTAGGCATGGCTCTGCCAGGCAGCGGCGAATCGGCCGAACAGAGGGATCCGCTGGTCCCAGCCGCGGCCACTGGCCGCCCAGGACTGCGGCCGGGCCGCCGATCTCCCGGGGATGACGGCTGGGCAGAGGGATGGCGAGGCGCAGCAGCTGCGCCGCGGCTGGAGTGGCTGCTCCAGCAGTGCCGCGTGGCAGCCGCAGGACAGGAGTGGCCGCCTCTGGACGTCGACACTGTCGGGACCACGCTGGCAGGTCTCAGGGCCCGCACATGGCGCGGGTCCGACAACCTCGGGCCAACGGATCTGCGGGCAGCCAACAGGGGCGCTGCAGGAGAGCCGCCTGGAGCTCCTGGCCGAGTGCGAGTCGCGCTGGGCACGGCCGTGACAGCTCAAAGTCGGTCCCCCCGCCCCTCCCGTGGACCAAACATACCAGCTTTCCCAGCCGCGTCCAGCCGTGGCGACGATGACCCCCCCGAAAGCCAGCTACTGTTGTCTCAACTGGCCCTCCTCTGGGGAAACCAAGAGGTACTGATACCGTTACTCCCCGGACCTCTCCCAGGATGCGTCCTGCCCAGAATGCCGAGGCGAATCCAGCGGTGGCGACAGGGGCCTCCCGGGAAGCCCCAAAGGGCGAAAACGAGGGAGAGGCAGCGGTATAGGTAACCGCGATAAGTCTTTAGAAACCCCCGCCCCCCCAAATAACGCTGATCACTGGGTATCCACCAATAAGGGATGATTTTCCCGTGGCACGAGGAGGGGCAGGAGGAGGTTTAAGACCAATCCAAATTAGATCCACCGCCGAGCGACAAATGGGGATCAAAACTAAAGACCATCTGAAGGTACCTTGTCCTCCTCTGACCCAGGAAAAGGAAAAACTGCATAAACACCGCGCAGATTTCTTGGATCCGCGCCAAGCCCGCGCGCCAGGGACGGCGCCGGAGGCGCCGCCAGGGGGGGCAAGGCGCCGACAAACGAAATCCGCGCGGAGCGCCAAAAGTTTATGTTTATGCTGTCAATGTTCTTCGATGGTACTCCCTTGATCAGCAGCACCTGGTGATATCAGAAGGCCAGAGGAAGAGGAGGAGGGAGAGGATGCTGGTGATGATTATGATTACAACGATGATGATGATGATGATGATGATGAGGAGGAGGAGGAGGAGGAGGGGAGGAGGAGGAGGAGGAGGAGGACCAGGAGGAGGAGGAGGAGGAGGAGGAGGAGGAGGGAGGAGGAGGAGGAGGAGGAGGAGGAGGAGGAGGAGGAGGAGGAGGAGGATTTGTTCTGCTGAGTTCCACGCTCTGTCCGCCACGTTTAGCCAGGCCCCCTACGGCGGGGGAGACAGAGCCTGCAGGCGGAAAAAGGCCCGCCACGGCACGCACCAGGGCCAAAAAAGCGGCGTGGTCAGCCGAATGGCCCTCAGGAGGGCTGACAGCCGCAGCAGGGCATACGGTCGGGGAGGGCAAGTTCCCCTCCGTGCCCTGACGCGCAAACTATGCAAAAAAGGGTGGCGGCCCCTGAACAGCAGTCACCGCAGGGGAGACATCACCCCACGGGCGTGCGAAGAGGGACGAGGACAGCACTGGGCAGTGAAAAAGGCGGCCAGCGGCGCCTGCACGACGAAACTCCGAAGCCCGAGTTCCAGGGCTGGCTGCGTAACCAGCACCACCGAGCAGGACGCCGCAAAAACCCAAGATCGAACCTGCCTCGCGAGCCCATCTCACACCTAGGGCCATAGGATGATAATCCAGCACCTCAGAGGGCGAACGAACGGGGAGGACGATTGTCTCCCTCGTGCCCTGACGCGCTCTCTTAACACTGGGGGCGACCCCCTGAGCAGCAGTCACCGCCAGGGAGATATCACCCCGCGGCCGTGCAGCAAGGGGGCGCGAGCAGCACGAGGCAGCGAAAAGGACGGCCAGCGACGCCTGCGCGACGGAACTCCAAGGCCCGAGTTCCACGGCTGGCACCGTAAACAGCACCGCCGAGCAGGACGCAGCAAAACCCCAGATCGAACCTGCCACGCGAGCCCAATTCACGCCAAGACAAAGCTAAAACGGTACAACGCAACGCAGGGCGAACGGTCAGGGAGGACAGAATTGCCTCACCCGTGCCCTGGCGCGCAGTCTGACAGG